CCCTCCTTCAGTCCCACCCCTACCGGGGACAGAACAGGCAGGGTGAAGAGGCCTAGGAGCTGCAGGAGGAACTGAGATGAGCCTGGGGTGCAGAATTGATGTGGTGATTAGGGGGAGAGGCCGTTGTGATGTCACTTCCATTTCTTTAGGAAATAATAGACACCCCCCCACACACACACATGCTTTTTTCAGACCACTTTAAGCACTGAATATAGTTAGACCGGCGCATATTTCCCTAATCTGGACAAGCCAATATTTCCTTTGTATTATGGGATGCTTTACAGCTACTTCAGATTCAGATGCTTAATGACCAGGCTTACGGATCACATGGCTCTCTAGACATGGCTGGTTCTTCAGCGTTTTATGCATACTTTGGCAGATTATAGGTTTATCAGTGGCAACTAATCTTGTAGAGAACTGTGGCCTAATTCCTTTTGTTAACTTATTTAAAGAGAAAGAGGTAAGATCACTATTAGACCTATTAAAACCTACATTACTCACTCAGTGGTCTGTGCCACTGGGCTAAATGTGTAATTAGGGGCTTCGTTCAAACATGATAAAAGGCAGTCACATGTACAGCTTAGTCAAAGGATGTCCTGGCCCACTGAATTCTGATGTGATGTGTGAGATCAGGAATAGAAACAGTATGAAGATGTTAATGTAAACCTCTTGTGTGTGTGCTACAGAAAATTGCAATGCCTTGGTGCCTTTTAAATACTGTAGAGTCCAATAATGAAGCCCTTACTGTTTTTTGCGGTGTGTGTTGTGCCTGTTTAAGAACTGAGTAAGGATTCGATTTGGTGTCTAGTTTTCAACAGGATTGTAGGGTTTGGCAGAATGGATCAGTCCAGGGACCTCTTAGCCCAGTGTCCCCTCTCCGTCAGCCCAGCTGAAGGTGCAAGAAACCCAGCAGTGGGCAGTTACAGGATAGCCTACCCCCAGAGAAAATTACTTGCCAGCCCCTCTTAGTGGTTGGCTTATGCCCTGAATCATAAAGATTTATACATCTTCTAAAACTCCTTTTTTTTTTTTAGTTACGACTATGTACAACCCTGTATTTCCAGCAATGGGATGTGTGGACAAAGCAGTAAAGCCCTGGGAACTTGGAGAAAGGCCACATTTTCCCTTAAAGAGACTGGAAAAGAAGAGCCAGGTCCACAGTTCCTGCCTTGCTGCCATCCATTCCACTGCCCCCTCTAGGTGGTACGCCCTGTGGTGACGTGGCTTTCAGGGGAGTGTCCAACAAGAGTGGCAGAGGCACCATATCTCTACCAGCCTTCATCCTTTCTCCACCATGTCAGCTTGTGGTGCACCTGAACCCTACCTTGCTGACGTCCCTTTGTGGTATAGAAAAGCTGAGCAGGGGGAATTCCAGGGGATTAGGCCTTGCAGATTGGCTGCTCCCTCTCCTGATGTCTCTACCCCCACTTTGGTGCTTCTAGCGCCTTGGCTGGAATTGTGCTGGTCTGTCTAGGGCTTGAGAGTGCAGCAAATGGAGGGATGTGGATTTGCACACTGCATTCGCTTCTGGGGGATACATCCTCAGGTGCCAGGGGGGTCATTGGCAGACATGATGGGAAGCAATGGCAAACCCATACTCCCGAGTGTGATCATTAACCTTTATTGAAAATGAAGTGTTTGCTTTGTCCGTTCTTAAGTGTCCAAAAATTCCATCAAGTTGTCTGTCATCACTGACCCAGGGAAAAAAGCACCAAAACCTTGATGTTTCTGGTCTTAATTTGTATGCATATAAAATATGCTTAGGTGCTGAAAGCTGACTCAGGCTTTTAAAATCCCCCAGCACAATTAGAAGCGTTTGCACAGGGGAACAAATTATGGAAGAACTACGCAGTAATGTTTGAAGGAATAAACTTCTTTAATACATACCAATCCTTATTTGGGAAAGGGTAAAATTTGATTAACAATTCCCACTCTGCTACTCATGTTGTTCTCAGAGGCAGTTTGGTCCAGAGCAGACAGGGTGGCCAGGGTATGTGTCTCACTGTTCTGCCCAAGCCTCGGGGTGTGACAAAAAGGAAAAGCAACAGAAAGAAAGGGACTCAACCTAATGGAAACTATCCTGCCCACCCATGGGGAAGAGACATGCAGGTCTGAGGTCAGAATAGATGATCACGTGGTCCTTTCTGGCCTTTAGAATTATGAATGTATGTGTATGGTACGTCTCTTTATATATACTACATCTGTGGACTTCCTGTTGGTTCACTACATGCTTACATCTTTATATACTGCTTTTCTCTTATGCGAGTCTTATGTTGATCACCATCTAGTGTCAGAAATTCATCACTCAGGCCTGGTCTGCACCTAAAATTTTGGTCAACCTAGTTACATCATTTCAGATTGTGGAAAATTTTGCATCTTGTGCAACGTAGTTAATTGACTTAACCCCCACTGCAGACGCAGTTAGGTTGATGGAAGAATTCCCTTCCATCAGTGTAGGAAGCATCTGCGTTACAGTGGCACAGCTATGCTGTTGTAGTGTAGACATCTTCAGACTCTCAAAGCATGAGAGAGAGTGTGGCAGAAATACTGGAAAGGGGATTTGGCTCTCTGTGTGAGAATGAGTCCTGATGTGGATAGGCTACCAGGGGTTGCCGGTGTTTTCAGTGCACTAGGACGCCCAACGTTATCAATATTGGTGGAGCTGAGCTGGTGTTAACAACAGGGAGAAAGCTTTGCACAAGATTTGTAGGCAAGATTTGAGAGGTCACCATTGCTGTAGCAATGGTCAGAGTAAACCCCATGCAGAATGGTTATTGAGAATTGTACTTGTTGCTGTATCTCTCTGGTGGTATTTTCGTATAGATAAAGTTTTAGAAAGGTCCTGTATGTCAGCAAGATGGCCACTTTCCTGTCATGGTTGACATTTCATATTTACTGGTTATTGGTCTGGAACTGAGCCTCCTTAACCCCATCTCCATCGTATCTGAACCATGGTTGGTTTTGATTTTGCAACACCAGAAACCAGCGGATGAATGTGTGCAAACCGAAACCAGCGGATGAATGTGTGCAAACCAAAACCAGCCTCCAGTTTTGCCCAGTTCTAATTCTGCCTCACTAATGCATTCAGCATGTATATGAATAATGCTGCTTATCCCAACCACATTGGCTACCAGTGTGCCAGTCGCAGGCAATGTATCTCCACAGCATTCCTGAATGGTTTAGCATTGGGCAATGGACCTAATTTAACTGGTTTGAGTCATGATATTGCCCTTTCTGCAGGCACCCACGTGCATCTGTTCAGTATGACAGGGCTAGAGGAGACATTTAATTATACCTGTAATTGCAAACACCCAGCAAGTTATAATTGCGTTCAGAAAATGCGTACCAAGGTAGAACTGGTGTCAAAATAAGCAGTTGATGGTGGCTGTGCAAGGCACTGTTAATGTGTTTAGAGGAAGCGCACGGGAGTTGTCTACCAGCAGGTGTATATATGGTAAAGCAGGTGCTTCAGCGCCCATCTTCTCAGCTCATCTCAGCAAGGACTTTGCATGGTTAGAGTAGGGAACCTGAGACCTGAGTTCCAATCCCAGCACTACTTGAGACTTGTGTGACCTAGGGCAGATTGCCCTCTCACTGACTCAGTTTCCCCTTTGTAAAGGGGGATCAATAATACATACTCACCGTTGCATTTGAGGAACGAGTGTAATCCATATGGCTCCAACTCTCCCAGGTGACCTACTGGCTAACAAAAGTGACAGTATATGGGGACCTGTAAGGGTTAGATATTTAAAATTTGGCTTTCCCCAGCCCTTTTCTTTGTCCTTAGTCGGCAGCTGCAATTAAGTGCTGTTGTATTTCTGCACCTGGAGTTGTTTCTGAGTGCAGCTCGCGTTGCTTCGATGCCTAAGTATTGATTGTGCTCGTGCATCAGGTAGTTAGGCGTCGAAGTGGCATAAACCGGGCTCGCAAACAGCTGCAGCCAGAAAGCTGCAAGCGTGCAGAGGAGCTTGCTTGAAAAGCAGGCGCGTACAGTGTCTTATACAATGTCAGGTGCGAGGGGAGCCACCAGCAGGAAAATACGTTCCCTTAGTTCCGCGACGTCGGTAGAAAATTCCTTTTCCTCTTCCATGCTGGCTTGCATTAGATTTCAGTTTGTTGCAGCTCACGTTTTCCTGACATATTCTGGTCTGTATTCAGTCTGCTCACGCCCACTGCTTGCAGAGAGTGCACTTGTTTCCAAGTGATTTCTGTTGCCGGATTTACGTTTGTGCAATGGGTACAATTGCATAGGATGTCCCTGAATCCGCTGTTGTTACTGATAAGCAGCACACTGACTGCAGACCTATATCAGTATAACTAAGTCACTCGGGGGTGTGAAAAATCCACACCCTTGAGCGATGTAGTTATGCCGATCTAACCCCCAGTATAGACAGTGCTATGTCAATGCGGGAGCTTCTCCTGTCCACATAGCTACCGCATCTCGGGGGGGTGGATTATCTATGCCGACAGGAGAAGCCCTTCCATACTTTTTGAAGAGTCTTAAAAATTGCACCAGGATTGACTTTTCAGCCCAGTGCTCTGTGGCAACTTGGATACAGAGGATTTATACACATCATTTAAGACCTCCAAATATGAGAGTCGTCATCAGCTCAGCTCCCCGCAAACCTTCTGTAGGGTTGCTCTGTCTATACCCATAAACCTCCTATGGTTGAGCCTCCCCCTGGGAGTGAAATGAGAATCTCCTGCTTCCCATTCTTTAACCATATTAGCTGCCAATGTTTGGAACATCTTCTGGAATGCCAATTAGGGCAAGGGTTTATTATTACAGTTATTTTTTAAAATATGTGTAAACCAGTACAGAAATATGGCACTGACATTTTCCCTGGGAACAGAAACACAAGGAGCAGTGGTAAGAGTGACAGTGGGATGAGGGGAGTAAGTGTTATCCATTGGTCACATGGGCTTGCATTTCCCTGTGGACTGTTTCATTATGAACCATTTTGAAGACTGATTAATTTTTTTCTTATTACTTCCCTCAGTATTTCTGGCTCCTCGTCCTTTCACGAGGTTTGGTCGGCATCGGTGAAGCCAGTTATTCCACCATCGCTCCCACCATCATAGGAGACCTTTTCACCAAAAACACCAGAACCCTCATGCTGTCTGTCTTCTACTTTGCAATCCCTCTTGGCAGGTAACCAGTCCACTGCTGTTCTCTTGAATTACCATACATCCGAAGCGGCTGACAAGAAAGACACATTTTCTTAGATTTGAATTGTTTTGTAAGGGAAGAGTTTGCAGACTGATGGCTAGAGTAGGGGCTGCTTAGAAGAAAGAGGTGCTTATACCTGTGTTGCCACTGATTCAGGTCCACGTTCGTTTAAGACCCTTGCCTGGAATAAAGGTGAGGTATTACTAATTAACAGAGCTGGATGAAAACAGAAAATAACTATTCAGCATATACGTTTTTGGAATAACAGCGATGTTACTTGTATAACTGATGAATAATATTATACCAGTTCTCTTAGTTGCTGTTTATATTCATTTGAGATATGGGCCTTTTTGAGTCAAGTTCCTCCAAGTTACCATATACTCTAGAAGAGTCATTAGGTTAAGGTACTAAGGGCTAAATGGTCAAAACTGTGCAAGTGTAATTGCAGGCACATCTCCCTAAGGCATGTGAATATTGGAGAGTGCAGGTCAGAGGCACAATTTAGCTCTTGAAATTTTGGCCTTTCCAAAGTATTCTTTAGCTTACATTCAAACTCCGACCTACTTGAATCTGCAAAATTTGGCTGAGACGCTCTAGAGGACCCAGTGGTTAAAACCACAGTAGCCAGTCTGTGGTAGTACTCCCACCATTGCAGCGACCACTGTGGGAAATTACTTTTAAAAGTCTAATGTAGACAAGGCTGAGGAGAGCTGCTGTAAGGAGCATTCACGCTTCAATTTACGCAGAGTCGTCTAGGACCATACAGCCCATAGTCTCCTGATGAATGTAACAGACAGACTCAGTCTTTGAGTAATTATTTCCCCTGGCACTTTCTTTCAATTGAGTTCCCTTATCAGCCCAGTGCAGTATCTGATTGCTGGGACTAGAGAGATCCTGTATGTTTTACAATGGTTGACCCTGCATTGTGAGGTTGTAGACAGGGTGGGCTCAGACAATGTGGATCCAGATTCCCAGAAGCAGATGACTTCCTCTGAAGAAGTGGCACAGTAAGTTCATTTCCAGAAAGGGAAAACCTGGACAGCAGTTAACTCCACCATTGCAGTGAAAAACATCTGGATTAGGGTGGCGATACGCCAACTAGAACTTACTGTAGTAACCTTGAAACAAAAATTGAAACATTCTTTTGCTCTTCAGGAAGAAGAAATGGCTGGTCCTTAACTAATGGAAATAACTTTTTCTAAACAGCCCTCGGAAACTGAACACTTAAGTAGAGAATTGAGCTGAGCAGTGGTTGGCAACAAGTCAATTCCTTCCAAAGACAAACATGCTTGATAATGGCAAATGGCTAGAAATGGGCCCCAGTTGCCCCATCTGGCTCTGGACCTGATTTTTTCCAAAGTCTAACGGAGTTTGGATCCGTGGTTTGGTTTTGGAGCCATATCTGTGAATGGCTCAGTACCCGAATGGTATTGATGGTAACTCAGGTGCCTTCATGGCTTAGAAAGCTGTACAATAAATGTGTCTGGCAACAGCCAGCCGCCCTGGAACAGCTCTGGTAGCTTTTACCCAAGGCAGCCTTTGCGCTGAATGCTGGCATTTCCGAAAGATGGATTTCGTGCCTGTTCGTTTGTTATAGGGAAGCATCACTGCGGTTCACCAGTTGGACCACTCAGCTAGAGCTGCCTTTTATTACCTGATCATAATTCTGTGATACCTGGCTGAAAGTCTGCTGGTTTCTCTAACCTCCTGACAGGTTTATGATGTTCGCCTGTCAGCCCTATGTGCTTGTTCTTCCAAGATTTTTGGTATGAACTTATAAAAAACAGTCTCTTGATGCATATTTGGGAACAACTGCTGTTAAATTAACAGATGGCATTTAAATGGTTTGGTGCAGTATAAACTTGATGGCACTTCTTATTAATTCTAGGTCTGGGCCCAAAAACACAGGTGCTCAGCTTATTGCAGTGATTGGTGTGATGTAGGAATCTGAATGGGACAGTCTTTGGATCCTAGGGCTTTGTTTCAACCCCTTACAGGGCAAAGGGCCTGCAGTGAAGTTCAGATCAGTAGCTAAATTTCCATCAAACTAGAGGATATTTGGTCCCGTCATGTTGTTAGAAGTCACATGTTCTCCACTTTTTCTGCTTTTAGTGATGCTTACTCTTGTCTCTGCAGGAAAAGGGTACTTGCAGACTCAGCAGCTGACCATGACTGTTTGTCTGCATTTCACGTTCTTTGAGAACAGCTACACCGATAGCACTTTATTAAAACTGGCTCCCTTCTTTGTACTTTTTGCAGTGGTTTGGGATACATCACTGGATCAAGCGTGAAGCAAGTAGCAGGAGACTGGCATTGGGCATTGCGGGTAAGCACCTGTCTCATATTCAATAAGTCTGTTAAAATATCCCTCGTGAACTCACACACACAAATGTTAGAGCTGGCCAGAAAACAGGTTGTAACTTTCATGAAAACTTTCTGAAAATTTCCAGCTCTTCAGCTGGTCAAAAATTTTGAAATATAAAATTTCGTTGTCATTTTTCATCAACATTTTGCCAACAAATGGACAGAATTTTTGCAGTTTTTCAGGTGGGTGAAATTTCCATCTTCTTTTCCCCCAGCAAAACTGAAAATTTCCAACATACTCCAATAAGCTGGCACTTGTCATTGTCACAGTCTTTATCCCATTTCAAAAGAGGATGGTGCTACCTCACCAAGTTTTATTCTGCTTTACATAATCCGTGGGCAGCACCATCTTCTGACTGAACAGTATTTAACGGTTTGAGGTTGAGGGCAGAAGAGGACTTCTAGGCAGGGCAGGATTAAAAAACTGGAGCACTGGAAAGATACGTGTACAGATATTAAGCATGTAGCAGATTAAACGTATGCAGCTCCTGGACGAAAAGGGAAAGGTGTTCATTGTTGGTTCTTTGTGCTTGTTTCCCTGCCTGGGAGTAGCGTATTTCCAATCACTTCATTATCAGTTGACAGTAGTTTCTTGATGGGCTGGGGAATAGGAGGAACCTTAAATCAACTCTGTAGCCTTTCAGTCCCCTGCTGTCAAGAAACTCCTGCTTTGAGGAAAAAACACTTTGTTCCAGTTTCCGCTTGTTTTTCTGCCCAGAGACACTCAGTTTCCTTCTATTTTAACCTCTAGGGACCTTGATAAATGTGTTGAAAAGATAATAAACCACACACACACAAACACATACACACACAGCGATGTCTTGAAATTGCTGGCAGGAAATGGCCCAGCAAACCTGCTTTCTGGCCTTTGACAGTCTGGCCAGCACGGGGTTGAGTGAGATGCTCTCTCAGGGCTGGCAGTTCCTGAAGGCAATTAATTGCATGAAGCTCGTGCCAATGCAGTTTATAACAGCAGGTGCTGAAATACGTGGATTCCCTACCTCAAACAAACGGCTTTTTTTGGCGGCTGGAAATGAGAAGCGAAGCCAGTAAAGTCACCGGGAATAGTCCATCAGCAGCCAGCTGAGTGGGGAGCAGATTCCAACCAGGAACCTAAAATGAAAAGAATTAAGTGTAATGCCATGAAGTTTCAGACCAGAAAATTGGCCATCTTACCTAAAGGCAGGAATGCTTTAAGGGTGAAGCTGACTTCTGAGCAGAGGAGCAGCGCTAGGCCTAAGCCCCTTACTCAACCCATTGTGCTTAAATGAGACTGACGTGTTACATAGGATCATGCTGGTCTAGTACATCAAGATGAAAGGCACCCTAAGGCCATAGTTCTCAACCTTTTGGGGCTCAGGACCCAGCTGTAAACCTTGATGGCATGACCCAGGATATAGCTTTAGTGCCAAATACATCCGGCTTAGGAAATATTTCATACCCACGATATATAGTATACACATTAACACAATAAATGCTAAAAAAGTACACTTACGCATACTATAGTGGCGGCTCCTGGCTGGGCGCAGCTCCCCGCTCCAAGTGTTGCAACCTCTGGGGTCACAGCACTGCTCAGATTTGGGCCAGCCCCCTTAACAGGGGGCTAGCCAGGCCAAATCTGTGCGAGTGGTGTTGTGACTTGGTGCACGGTATCAAAACATCACTCACTCAAATTTGGCCCAGCTAGCCCCCTATCATCATGACAGAGGGTGGCTGGGCCAACTCTGAGTGGCACTACAACCGTGTGGACCAGGTCGCAAGGCCCAGAGTGGGGTGCCGAGCCCAGTCAGTCCTGAGGGACCGAGGCCACCACTGCAGGGTGATTGTGAGATGGGCTCTGTCTGCAGCCCTCCCCAGGGCCACCCAAGTGACTCCTTGACACATTCCGGAGACCTAATTTTGGGTTGTGACCCACAGGCTGAGAAACCTTGCTGTAAAGGCCTAACGGTATTATTTGATGCAGGAAGTTGCCATTAGCTCCCTTCTCTTCAAGTGAGATCTCCACCTTTGTTTCTGGCAAGAATCTTTCTGGGCTCCTGTGCTTGTAGATCCCAGGCTCCCTGTGCATCAGTCTCTCCATCATGTTCTATGCAAACATCACAACAAATTGCCAGTGATAACCTGACTGTACAAAACACATGAAAACTATCAGGAGACGTTGGTCTGTCTTTTGGTCTTGTCTACATGGGGACACTTATGAAAGTTAATCCAAATTTACTAAAGGTATGAATTTAAAATGCATTAGTTAAACGTCATTAACTCACAAATTAATTAAACTGAATCAAATAAAGACTACTTGAATTCTGAATAGGAGAAGAGTTTCAAGTGGTTTAATTCATCCACTTTCAATTCACATCTTAAATTAATTCAGATTAATTTTCTTGAGTGTCCTCATATAGACAAGCCCTAAATCTAGTAGTGTCAAGCCCTAAATTTAGTAGCATCGTGAGTGTAATTGCTTATTTCCTAGGTGTGTTGCTTCACTGTGTCACCTCTTGTGATCTCACCAGATCTCCTAATCTAGGCAGGGTCACGTTGATCAGTACTTGGATGAGAGACCCCAGAAGAAGAACCAGAGTGTTTGTAGAGGTGCTTCGTAGGAGGCAGTCTTCCCTCTGGTTCAGTAACAATTCCAGTGCCCCAGTAGAGTGCCAGAGGATGCTGTGTTGCTGGAGGAGCTGGTCTTTCAGATAAATAAAACAGAAGTCAGGAGAACCTGGAGTCCTTTAGGATTCCATGGCACTTTCCACCAGAGTTAGGGGCATTGTGTCCTGGACAAATTTCAGCTAAGTTACTTTCATTCTTCCAGCCATAAGTTCCTCCTGTCATTTCAAGCTGAATGAGGTATTTTCCTTAGTTTTCTGTCTTGAAATCATAGAATCTCAGGGTTGGAAGGGACCTCAGGAGGTCATCTAGTCCAACCCCCTGCTCAAAGCAGGACCAATCCCCAATTTTTGCCCCAGATCCCAAATGGCCCCCTCAAGGATTGAACTCACAACCCTGTGTTTAGCAGTCCAATGCTCAAACCACTGAGCTATCCCTCCCACCATGTTTTAAGTTTCCTCTTTGCAACCAAACTGGGACCTGCCTTCTGTTGGGCCTGCAGGTTTGCGTTGCACGGGTAGGTTAGGTATTCTGAGGCACCACTACTCAGACTGGAGCCTACCGTGCATTTGGCTGGCACAGAATTTGTATGTAAAAATTGCAGCTATCAAAAGGGAGGCCTCAGCCGTATTGATAACGTCCCCCTTTAGGGAATGTCTGCCCAGCAGTGAGCCTCCCAGCGCAGGTCAACAGACTTGGTCTAGGGGGCTTTGCACTAGCATCCTACAGATAGCTGCATAGACAGCACTCTGGACCTGTGGCTCCGGCTGGAGCTTGGGCTCTGAAGCCCACCCCCATCCCCAGGCGTCCGAGCCTGAGCCACAACTTCAAAGTGCTGCGTACGCAGCTATTTCTCCAGCGCTTGAGCGCACCCTGCGAGCACGAGTCCGTCGGCCCGCACTGGGTGGCTCGCTGCTGCAGGCTGGGTAGATGTACCCGTTGCGTCCTAGTGCCCTGTTGAACAGCGATGTGTTGCACCCTGGTGATGACTGAATCTCAGTAGTAGACAGGTGGTTCGGTTTTATAGCTTGTGAAGCCTCCTGGGATCCTTTGGATGATGCAAATCTTCTCTAGTCATTGGAGTAGTGGACTGGAAGTCAGGAGACCTAATCCTCGTGAGCCTCAGTGTCCTCTTCTGTTTTCCCCCCACTCCATCTTGAATGCCCTATGCAGGGAGCAGTCAGGAACTGGCTGACAATGGAAAGCCAGAGGTGGGCAAGGGGCATGTGCACACAGAGGAAAGTACGGGAAAGGTCAGAAAGTGACTCCCAACATTCAGAAAACCTTTCCCCTTCCTGGCATACCACCCCAGCTACCCTTCAAATACTTCTAGGAATTAGCCAATCCCCTAGCCCACCTGGGAGTAAGCTGGCTTCCTAAGGGTTAAATGTCACAGAAGATGAGCTGGGTACAGCAGTAACACAGAATGCGACCACCTTAATCACAAGCATCTCCAAAGCTGAGCTACAAGAGTAAGTAAGAGTCTTGACAGAGAGGAGCAGATGCGGCAGTGGGTTCATGCAGATTCGGACCAGATGTAAAGAATCTGGCCACTGAAATGAAACTAATGCAATCTGTTTCTTTTTGACTAGCCATGGTAACCACTGGCAACTTCCTGTGCTGATTCCCAGGTCCTCTTTTCCAGGTATCTCCACTCCTAGGCATGATAACGGGGACACTCATCTTGATATTTGTACCTGCTGCTAAAAGAGGCAACGTGGAACAGCTGGGGGGACAGCTGAAGGCTCGGACTTCATGGCTAAGAGACATGAAGGCACTGATCAGAAAGTAAGAGAGCTCTGCTAAAATGCGCTTGGCCTTCAACTCTCAGCCTGGGAGTGAGCTAGCTTTTGCCGGTGGCAATGCTCGATTTGCAAGCGGCAATGCTCAAGGAGCAGCAGAAAGCACGATCCTTGGGCCTGAGAAAGGAAGCCACAGTTGTATTTTCACTAGGAATGGGCCCCAGTTAGAATCCAAATTTGGATCTACCCTGTCCAAGGTTCAGATTGGAGGGTTTTCTCGGGTCCATATCTGGTTCTCGCTTCAGGGAAGCTCAAGTGTGGAAGTGGAAACATATGAAAGAGCAAATGGTGTTACTGGCTTTCTGCCCTTTTTTCTGTCTTGATGGGCGCCAGGAAAGGAGACACCTTCCTGAGGAGGGGGGGAAATGAAACGTCATAGTGAATTTTGAGGAGCAGATATACAAATGCCTGCCCTTGCTTGCAGGTATACCCATGCTTACACAGTTCCACATGCCTATGCACCCACACTTGCACAGTGTCAGTCATTCTGCTGCACGCGCTGTCAGGGTGTTTCTGCGACTGCCTCTGAGCACGTCTCCATTTACCCGCAGATTGCCCATGGAGTTCCAAAGTGGAACTTGCGCGTGATCTTGTTCCTTCTGACAGTACTGACTAGTGCATCTTCCCGGTGTTGTCAGCAAGAACAAGGGTGTTCGGACACGTGGTTATGGTTAATTCACAGCTGTCTCCATGGGGCTTACCCTCATATCATTTGAATGCCTGGTAATCCAAACGGTAATGACGCTACTCTTCCAGTGAGGCAGGGTCACTCAGATGGGGAGAATGGCATTTGGAGCAGGCAAGTAGGCATGATGATAGGACTAGAGGGAGGGCATCCTGATGATTGAGTGCTGACTATATTACTTGATGGTCACATGGCACTTTGTGGATGTAAAGTCCTGTCCAGGAGGTGAGACGTATTGTTACTGTCACAACATAGTGTGTTAGAAATGTACGCTGGGCCTGATTTTCCATCACCTTGCACCATTGTTGCACCTGTGCAAAGTTAGTGCAAAACAGTACTGCACCGAAGCCTGGTAAAATTTTACACCTGCTTTGCACTGATGTAAATAAATGCAGAGGCAAGCTCCAACAGAAAGTACTGTAATTATATCATCTGAGCCTATTTGAGCAGCTAGTGATTTGATCTTTGCTCTAGGGATGCTCTGGCTTATGAGTTTGGGGCTGAGCTGATGCTGTTTTCTCTGTTGCTGCCTCCCATGGCCATTATTCCTTCGGGGTTTCCCTACTGCAGGGATAAAGCAGTTCTGGACTTAAAATTTCCCCTTGGATTTTTCTCTCTTGCATCTCCACAGCCGCAGCTATGTGTTCTCATCGCTGGCCACGTCTGCCGTTTCCTTTGCCACAGGGGCACTGGGCATGTGGATTCCCCTCTACCTTCACAGGGCACAAGTTGTGCAGAAAACTGTTGAGACTTGCAGTTCGGAGCCCTGCGGCACAAAGGACAGGTAAGGCTCATCCTGTGCTATTGTAAAGGGGGGCTTTCCTATTGCAGCCGACATTCAAACTTACAGAGCTTGGGCTTAAGAGAATGAAATCCATTGACTAGGATCCCTATAACTTCCTGTTGCCCTTTGCAAAATGATAGGAAGCACTGGGGTTTAAATCCAGAATTTATTCTTTGCTGCTGCAGCTGATCCCTTCCTCGCTACTGGACATGAACTTGTAGTGAAGCTGGAATACTGGGCAGGTGAGATCAGGGAAGAAAGATGGCTTTGTAACTTAGGCACAGGACTGAGAGCCAAGAGATCGCAATTCTACTCTGTCGTGGCCACTGATTCCCAGCACGATGTTACCTGGGGATGGGGCTTCTCTGTGCCTGAGCTTCACCATCTGTAAAGTGGATGTACTATCTGCAGAGGGGCTAAGCCGTTTAATTGATTTGTATGTATATAGCGCTTGGAAATCTTCCATGGAATGCAGCACACTGTGATGTCATAAGTAGTAGCTTATGACCTCACTGCAGGATCCAGCAGAAGATGGTTGCTGTGGCGAGAGAGGAGGCTCTTATCGTGGCTCACATTTCATCAGCGATAGCAGGGATTGGGCTGGCGTGGTGGCCAAAGTTCAGGATTCAGTTTGGTTGTTCTCCCTCTAGGAGCCAGCAAGGGAGTGCCCTTGTGGCCATGTACTCAGCCCCTGTGGTTCGTGCACCGCTCCTCTGCCCGATGCACCATGTGCTGTAAACATCTTTGACTGGATGAAGGGCTTTGGGGGTCCTTTATGAGTTGAAGAGAGATCCCAGACTTGCAGGGGAAGTATCGAAAACTGGTTTTGCCTGTTACTGTTTTCATATAAAGGCTCTTGGTTTGAACGTGCCCCAGGGTGAAATATTCTCTTTAATAATACTGTAGTGCTGACCCTAAGGCAATGAAGAGAGAAGGTCTGTGGGTATCAGACTGAATAAATTTCCCTGCCATGCTGGAGTAGCTTAATACCGAAGAGGAGTATTAGTAATTACCTTTCATCCTGAAGATATCTTAAGCTCTTGATGGTGTGTGTATGCTGGTATCGCTCATGTGCTACTAACATGCAGCCGCTTCTGAAGTAGATTGCAGCAGTAGGACAACATTACAGTACGTTATTTGGGAAGAATAAAATCACAGAAGTGCAGAACTGAAAGTCCTACTTATCTAGTCCGGTCCGCATCACGGAGGAAGGACTACATATTATCGAGACTGTCCCTGACAGGTGTTTGTCTAACCTGTTATTTAAAAAACAGTGAATAACTGCCGAGTTGCAGGGGGAACTTGGGTAGTAAGAACACAGTTACCAGAGTTGGAAACTGGCCATCACACCAGAGTTAATGTGAGAGTTGATTGGGAAATCATTATTTTTTCCCCATACAGAATATTTGGAAAAATGATTTTTTTTTTCACTTTTGTCACAATCTCTTGACTTTCTCAAGTTTTTTGGGAAATAAAAACCTGAAGATTTTTCAACAACTGAAAGTTTTAAATCAGAACTTGAAAACTAGCTCAGTTATTCAACAAAAACCTGAGAATTTTGAATGAAAATGGAATATTTTTCAGATACGTTGCATTTTAATTTTTAAAAATGGTGGAAATTTTTTGATCAGCTCTAGTTAATACCCTTAACATGTGCCATGAAATCTCTAACAGCCTGAAGTGCCTCTTTCACTAATCTTACATTAAATTACTTAAGGATTGCCCTACCAGGATACCATTGTCCTCTGGTCCTTTAAGAGCTAGTACTTTGTTACTACTTTTGATGTGTATCCACCACGGCAGTGGGGGAGAGCGTGGTAGCTGTGATGATGGGAGAAGAAAAGTAAGGTTTGGGTCCTACTGGCTTTGCTAATGTATAACAGAAGGCTCTTGCTCCATTCTGTTTTGCTTCACGTTGCACCTGGGTCTCTTCTTTCAGCACCATTGATGGAACGTTGCTTTGTGTTGTCTCTGGTTATATTTTGCATGAAAGGTGCTCAGAAGCTGATGAAAGCATTGTTCCGACTGGGTTAAAATTGTAGGAAGGCATCCTGTTGCCAGCTTTTTGACTTTGTACTGACTATAGAAAACAAATATTAGGAAAATCCACCTGTCTAAGCGAATATCATATCATAAATTAACTGCCAAGAGTGGTTAATCCAGCAGACTCAGTCCATCCTGCAAAAATGTCGCTAGTGGAGAAAGCAGCCCCAACAGCCTGCCCATCTCTCGTTCATAAAGGGAGGTTTTCTCCTCCTACAGTTTTAGCTATCCTGAAGCATCATGGCCATTACCGCAAAGACTGTTGTGTTCCAGATCATGCACACAAGATGCAGAGCACCTGGGCTATGAACAGACACTCCTTTACATGTTGACAAATAAATAGCAAATCTGTAGTGCAGCAGCAGAGGAGTCAGTTTGGATGGGATTTCACAAGGACCAAAGGGAGTTAGGAACCTAACTCCCTTTGAAATTCAATGAGCTTTGAGTGTCTAACTTCCTTTACACTCCTTCGCACTCACCCTGCCTTTTACTTGGATGATACGTTCGACCCACAGCATAGGGGGAGGAGCTGAGGGCTCCAGTGGAGTAGTGATTCCTAATCCATCATCAGCCTGTTGCTTGCTTGTTTCTCATGCCATAATGTGGCCGCGTTTGAGCTGGCAGGGGGCATTTAATATACTGTCCATTCCCTCCCCATTCCCAGTTAAGACAGAGTTCCTTGCATGATACCGTTGTAAAGCCGCACTGGTCTCAGCTCCGCGCACAAAACTCTGTAACAGGACAAGAGACTGAAGAAGAAAGCGGCTTTGGCACTGGACTCTTAGGGCTATGTTTTCAAACTGGCCACTTAAGTTGCACGCAGCTCACCAGTAATGGCTGCTGTACTTTAGAGGGAGCTAGAAGATAACCTGTTGACAGGCAGAGACAGTGGTAAAGATTGCAGGCTGGAATTAATTAAGGGCAGATCCAGGAGTGCTGTGAGGCTGCCGGGTGTGCCCACTCTGCCCTTTCTGTGTTAGCTTGGGTCTGAAATAAGCTGCTCCCCTGTTCTACTCTGAACTCTGCGTCAGACTAACTGTGCACGAGGCCCCTGCTGGCTCCCCACAATGGACACCTATTCCGTTCTTTCCTCACGTGCAAACATGACATTTTCCAAAATTTTCCCATGCAGACTTTGCAAACATGGTTTGGCAACCAGTTTTGGAACAAGTGGCCTTCTAGTTTTTATGGTCACCGTGGCATTCCCAGTTCCTTGGTAGTCCAGGAATTTGCCACAGGTCACGAACTAGAAAGCAAGTTACAGATTTTCAGTGTTGCCAATGCCAAAAGCACTCAAAAACATGAGTCAGGTGTCAGAAAATCCGGAGACGGGCTTAAAAATCCCAACGAGAATTTTGTTCAAATGATGATCTGGAGATTGTTTTATTTCCCTTCTTTTTTTAGTCACCAGGGCGTAAGGTGCAGTCCTGATTTTTTAAGCACCCTTACTCCATCCCTGCCAGTGGGCCCGTGCCCCTGCCAAAATGACCGTGAACGTGTGAGGTCCTGTTGTGCAGAGGATGCCATTTTGTTTCTTTACAAGTACTGGACCAGCGTTTCGCTGCGTTCCGACCGAGCCCATGTTAAAATCTCAAGCTTTTCTCTGCAGCCATGCAGGCGAGAAACTTTCCCCCCAATCAAATGAATCCAGCAGCTGAGGCTTTGAGAATAACATCTAATATCACAAGACTTGTAATGAAATCATGAGAATTGACAACACTGAGAATTTGCCCTGCTGTAGTGCTGCTTAACACCCAGATGCATAAGGCAGGCTTAGTCAGGTGCACTTCGTATGAAATTCACCCCTGTTCAGAGAGCCAGCTGAAGGCCCCATGCACCTCCTAAGTCCCATTTAGGTCCATAGCCCTTTGAGCTGGGGGCACCTAGTATGCCTTTCTTTTCTTCAAGGAAAATTGACAGTGACAAAGACTGTATTTCTTAAATCTGCAAAGCCAGAGAGTGAAGTTCAGATCCCATTACCCTGTATTTTCCCAGCTTGTTTGTGAATAAAACTTGTCCACATTAGTGTGTCAGTGAACAAATAACCCTCTCTCAATATTTTGTTTTAACAGTTTGATCTTCGGAGCAATCACGTGCTTCACTGGTTTTCTGGGCGTGATCACAGGGGCTGGGGCAACCAAATGGTGCCGGTTAAAAACCCAGCGAGCTGACCCCCTGGTCTGTGCCGTCGGCATGCTAGGGTCAGCCATCTTCATCTGTCTGATCTTCGTTGCTGCCAAGAGCAGCATTGTGGGAGCCTATGTAAGTATAGTGCATTCTCTGAATACGCATATGCCATCTCACGTGTGCCCTGTCCACCAAACTTCTTAACAAATCGGTGTGCATCTTTCCATGCAGTGGGGCTGAGACACTGGTTTGTACGTGCCTCTCTTCTGCTTGACCTTCCTTCTTTTGCTCACTTCCATCTCAGCATTACCATGCTCTGTTTGGGGGCAAAACAGCATTGTACCGTTTTCACCTTTCCCATCAAAATCTCACCAATAAGTGCTGTAGATTAGACACAGGGATATAGCTCATGTGCAGAAATCCATCGTTCTCCTCCTTTGTTCTGCTTTAGCCAGGTAAGGGCATTGCCTTAGTCCAGAATGCCAGTACCGGGAAATGTCGGTCACTTTTATTATGAAAGTTCTGTCATTACCATGTAGTTAAATTTCAGTTGCACTGAGGCTATCCTTTTTGAAACCGGTAATTACCTTTTAATTCCTGAGACTGGACAGTTTGCTGCATGACTGAGAATAATAGAGCAGATACGTGTATTATTATCTATTTTTATTACCATAAGGTCTAGGAGCCCTAGTAATGAACTGGAGGTTCATGGTGCTAGACACTGTGCAAACACAGAACAAAAAGATGGTCCCTGCCCCAAAGAGGTTACAATCTAAGTATGAGACAACAGGTGGATACAGACAGATGGGGATACAAGGAAACAATGAGGTAGTGCATAATGAAAAGGCTACCAGAGGGGTAGTAAGTAAATCAGTCATGCAGTTCACTGGACATTTGGAAGCATTAGTGGTAATTACATAGTGAGAAGTGTGTGATTACCAGAGATGGTTGGGAGTTTTTCAGCGACATGTTTTTTTCGTTGGAAATGCTAATTTGTCAAAACCAAAACTTTTCACAGAAATGGTCCAGGATGGTAGTGAAGAAAGATTGAGATTTCAGTCTAGCCAATAGCCTGCGGGGGTAGTGCACTTGCCTGGGATGTGGGAGACCCAAGTTCAAGTCCCTCCTCTGAATCAGGCAGAGCAGAAATTTGAACCTAGCTACAGTACCCCGCATCCTGAGTATCTGCGTCTCCCACATCCCAGGCAAGTGCCCTAACGTCTGGAGTGGGTGGGTGTGTCAAAGCTTTGAAAGGTCCTGTTTTCACTCTGATACAGAACAAAAACAAATATTGAAACCTCAGAATTTTTCACGAAGTGGAATTCTTGTTTTCTGGACAGTGTCTGTGATTACACAACAGCTGCAATAGCGCTGTACTGTAATAAAGTGTGACCAGGTACACTTCAGACTCCCACGCAGAATCCTTCATTTCTTTTGTCGTCTTTCCCTACTGTGTGCAGGCTGGCCTAGGGGAGGGACTCCTATCACAGTCCAGTCCCAGGTCTGGATCTTGCTTTTAACACAGGAGAATGGAAATCCTGGGCAGTGAAACAGATCCCAGTTACATTAAACCCTAAAGCCCTTGTGTTTTTATGCAGGACAGAGAAGCTAGGTGGGTTTTTTAGGGACTAAGCAGGAAGGTGGGAGTAGGGTAAAATCAGAAAGTCAAAACCTTGCTTTCCCTGACCAGAACACAATCAATCCAGGGATGTAGGGCTTGATTTTAAATGAAACAAAAAGTTGCACTACAATTTCCTGTCTAACCCATCACTCGGTTAATTGGGATCGTTCTGTGTGCTGCTGCTGTGGTCATTATATTCAGGCTCTTCTGAGAAGAGAGTGAAAATTAAAAAAAAAAATCCACTCTGGCTGCTGAGTAAGAGTCAGAAAGAAATCCGGACCAATGGCCTCGTGGCCTGGTCTAGTATTAACCTCTAGTTCAGAGAGCAGCAGAAAAATGACCACAATGCCTTAGAGAAGGGTGTTCAAGGTTAGCAGAATTGTTACCCTTCCTTTATTCCTACCTGGCTCTAAATAAAGTTATCTGTCACCTATTTCTGCAACAAAAGACAAATACTATGCTTTCATTGATCCCATTTGAATCATTTCTTCATTGTCTATTATCTCAAGAGAGCTGATTTTATGTAGATTATATTTCTGTGTAGCCATTCTATTTGTTGAGGAGAGAGTGGAAATGATGAAACAATCCAAACCACCAGCATGGAGTTTTAAGAAATATAAGCAGTAACTGTAATAGATGGTCACTCTGGGGGTTGCATGAGAAGTGAGTTGATAAGCTTGGGAAGTCATATCTGAATATGGAAAAAAATGAAGGATATAGGCTTGCTTGTATAGCTGCCCAGCCATCTGGTCTACACTTTCCTGAATGTACTCAGCTTCCTGGTTCATTTCTCCCCTTTTTATTCCTTTCCCATTGGTGGCTCTGGTCCCTGAACACAGCTCTGTTTATCTTTCTCTTATGTAGCAGCAGCGCCTAGACAGGCCATGTAGGCTAGCTTCTCTCTTTCAGCTATCTTTACATGCCTCCAGGCTGTTCTGTGCTGTAGTAGAAGTAGCTGGAAACAAGTAAGAGAGGGAGTACTTGTGGCACCTTAGAGACTAACCAATTTATTTGAGCATAAGCTTTTATGAGCTACAGCTCACTTCATCGGATGCATACTGTGGAAAGTGTAGAAGATCTTTTTATACGCACAAAGCATGAAAAAATACCTCCCCCCACCCCACTTTCCTGCTGGTAATAGCTTATCTAAAGTGATCACTCTCCTTACAATGTGTATGATAAGCAAGTTGGGCCATTTCCAGCACATTTCCTCCCCCCTCCCCCCAACCCACTCTCATGCTTTGTGTGTATAAAAAGATCTTCTACACTTTCCACAGTATGCATCCGATGAAGTGAGCTGTAGCTCATAAAAGCTTATGCTCAAATAAATTGGTTAGTCTCTAAGGTGCCACAAGTCCTCCTTTTCTTTTTGCGAATACAGACTAACACGGCTGTTACTCTGAAGTAAGAGAGGGAGCACTAATTAGCTAGCTGTCCACAGACCACCAATGATCCCCTGGACTCAGTTTGGGAACCACTGATTGTTCCAATTTCCACTTGTTACTACTGTGTTTTGCTGTAAATCGTGATTACCCCTTACTCTGCCATATATATGTGTGTGTGGTGTCATCCTGCACATTAAAACAACAGTTTGCACATCTTTAAGTCCCACTTTCTCTGAAGTTTGCACTTCTCCTTCAGTGTCAGGACATCCAAGCTCATCTTTCCAAACCCATTATCCGCACAGCATCATGATGTCACACCGCTCATGTAGTTCAAAAGATTCTGGGGCTAGAAGCAGATTTCAGGTGCTGAACGCTTAGTTTAAATCTCAAGACAACTTCAAAGTGGTGTTTTATGTGCCTTTTGCCAAGCTTTTAGCTGTTGTGGTACCTTGGGCTCAGCAGTTACTTCGGTTTCCCAGGATCATCTTAAAAACAAACAACTTCTCCCAAATGAAACACTTCCAATGTAGCTTTAGTGGCTGCTTGGTTCCAAATCCTGTGATCTGTCTTTTGTCCCGAAGGTGGTTCCTCCTTTGCTTTTTGAGATTTGCATACTATCCAACACTGAGAATTAGGGACTCTTCATTTTGAGTGAGTGCACAGCAGCTGTGTTCCCCATCCTTCAGAATACTTGTAATGATGAACCTCATTTTGAAGCCTATGAAACCAAGTTTTAAATTGTAGACACCAAAAACATCTGTAGGGAATCCAGAATGCTTCCTAATGTGCTTGGTACCAGAACTGCAGAGTTGGTATGGTTTGGGACAATGCCTGTTTACAGCACATGTCCTTGGCACCTCTCTTCAGTAGAAATGCTGAATACGATTTTCTGACTATTTCTCTTTTTCTTTCACGAGCGCACACATACAAAGAGGGTAATTCTGAAAGGCATATTGAGAGAAACACAACCCTGTGCAGAGCCAGCACAAGACTTGTGTGCCATGGCCTGGTGATGGGCCTTTGTACGGGGTCAAATTTCACCCACTGTATTCAATAATTCATATATATATTCCTCATAGCCAAGCAGGTGTAGGGGGTGTGTGTATGTGTATACAGATGTGTATATATATGTACAGATGTCTAATGTAAAGGCATAATGGAGAAGAAGCTAGGAACTCAATAGCAGAGCAGACAAGCATATCATAAGAACCAAGGGAAGGACTGAGAATTCCTAGCTCAGAAGCCGTACCGTCGTAATTGGCCCAGTCACCATAATACAGGAAACAAGACCAGTCACAAAGAGGTGGAGTGGGAAATAAAGACAATTTTAGAAACAAATAAGTGCAGGGGTGAAGATTTGCTAAATAAGGAAAACTCTTCCCAGCAGCAACAGAAGGATCAGAGTTCAGGGAACCAGCACGCAGTGAAAGCAAATGACGTGGCCACGTCCGGATCAGAACTGCTAGGGAGCAATGAGATGTTCCACCCCAAAAAATGTACGTCTAACACAGGGGTGGGCTATCAATGGCCCATGGGCCGCATCCAGCCCACCAGCTGTTTTAATCTGGCCCTTGAGCTCCTTCTGGGGAGCGGGGTCTGGGGCTTCTGGTGCTCCAGCCGGGGAGCAGGGTCGGGGCTGCTCCATGCAGCTCCCAGAAGCAGCAGCATGTCCTCCCTCCGGCTCCTACGCAGTCCCTGCCCCAACCACTGCCTCTGCAGCTCCCATTGGCCAGGAACTGCGGCCAATGGGAGCTGCAGGGGCAGCGCCTGCAGACGATGCAGCACGCAGAAGAGCCGCCTGGCTGTGCCTCCACATAGGAGCCGGAGAGGGGACATGCTGCTGCTTTTGGGAGCTGCTTGAGGTAAGTGCCACCTGGAGCCTGCACCCCAGGCCAGAGACCTCACCCCCTCCTGCACCCCAACCCCAATTCTGTGAGCATTCATGGCCCACCGTACAATTTCTATACCCAGATGTGGCCCTCGGGCCAAAAATTTTGCTCACCCCTAACATGACCAAGAGAAATTAACCCAATTCATTTCAGTGGGCATGTTGCTAAATCTTTCATTCCCTCTCAGAGGCCATCAGAACTCACAGAGACAGTGCAAATAATGTACTTCAGAAATATCCCCCATAGCTGGTTTCATTCCAGAAATGAATTGTACCCCATTTGAAGGTAATGAGGTCAAGGAGTAGGAAGGAGAAATGAGGCAGTTAGAAGTGGAATCGGTAACCAGACCTGCGACAATACTGAAGAAGTGAATTAAAAATAAATTGAGAGCTTGAGTCTCCAGAGTTGTTAGTCCATCTATTATCAGAGGGGTAGCTGTGTTAGTCTGTATCCACAAAAACAGCGAGGAGTCTGGTGGCATCTTAAAGACTGACAGATTTATTTGGGCATAAGCTTTCGAGGGTAAAAAACCCACTTCTTCAGATGCATGGAGTGAAAATTACAGATGCAGGCATAAATATACTCACACCATGAAGAGAAGGTAGTTACCTTACAGGTGGAGAACCAGTGTCCACCATGGTCCACTATGTTCACCAGGACTGAATTCAGGAGAACTGTTTCTTTTAGGTAGAGTATCAAAAAGTGAGTGGTATGACAAAGCAAAATAAGTTGTTGAGATGGCGTATTATGACACTCGTGGCTTTTCTTACCGTCTTGATTTGGGGAGTATTGGGTCATCACAAGCCTATCAAAACGGTGTGTACTCCTGTTGAGTTGAGCCAGATCATCTTACAAACAGATGGTATTAAAGCACAAGGTATAAAGTTGAAAGGAGGAATGAATCCCCATTTAAGGCATTTCACCTTTATTTTTAGGGTCTTCAAAACAATTAGGTGTACTTTTGGGATAAGTTAGCTACTCTTGTTGATTCTCCGCAAGAGGCCAAGAACTGAATTAGCTACAGAGACTAAAGCCCCAGTTCTACCTAGCATGTGCTGTGTGTTTTGTTGAATATATTGAAAGCTAAGTATGCACTTAATGCATTGGGGCCTAAACTATTACTGCTGATTCCTAGATGTATGTTCGCTCCAGAGGAGGGATAGAGACCTAATATTATATTGAAGGAATCTTGCACTGATCCACCTGTTCTGGGGTTAGAGAAATTCATTCCCACTTTGCTATGTGACCTTTAATACTTAACCTAACTGCTAGTGAAGGAACTGACTTGTGTGTCCCGGGGAGTTCCATTTCACACAAACTTTGTTCCTTTTTTGATTGGGTCTATGTGACCACATGTTTTGAAGCCAGGAATCCACCGTGACAACGAACACTCATGTTGACTTCTCATGTTAATCTGTCACTGAAGGTGTCAGCCTTTTGCCTAACTGTTCTCTAGATTGTAAACAATGTTTGCTAAAGGAGACCTGATCCAAGCCCTCAGAGTTGAGATAAAAATCTATGTATTTGTAATGTGGTCTGTTCTGAACATTAACCAGGGACTTATTGTAGGTAGAAGCCTTGGAATAAGTTTGAAATAAACAGTATAGGAAGGTTTGTGGCAGATAATTCCCCCCCCAATACCGCAATTGAGTTTCATGTGACTAAACCTTGTCCTTTGTATGTGTTTTGTTATGACAGATTTGCATTTTTATTGGAGAAACTCTTCTGTTTTCAAACTGGGCAATCACAGCTGACATACTAATGGTGAGTCTATGCTGTCCAAGCATCTTTCCTTTTGGGGGCAGAGGGGTCGAAACAGCCTTTCAGATTGCAATGGACAGCCGGTGGGTGTTCACAAGTCCCTTTAAAAGCCTAACTCCAACTCCAGCCTGTTTTTTCTTTTTTGCTGCTAGGGAAAGAGCTGTATATCCTCTCTTATCTTCCTTTTGAACGTCAGTTTGGTGAAACCTCCATAGAATTCCACTGGTGCCCTGAAATCCCTAAGGAATTGTGAATGGAGCTCAGTGAGAGCTCGTGAATAGGCTGCCAATTGGCCAGTTTTACCATCCAGAATTCCCACTGGCTTTGTTTAGTAATAGGAAGTCACCCCCTACACACACAAAGCCAGCCATCTACCTCTGTCTCACAACCCCAGGAAACTAGCCATTCATCACACACACAATAGCGTATCACTTTGAGGGGAGGGAAGGGGGGAAAAAAGTATGAAGAAGTTTCGGACTGTGTCCACTTCTTCCAAGAGGAAACACTCAAGGCTTTTTCACATCATGTCCCTCATCTTCCATTTGTTCTCTGCATAAAACGTTTCATGCCTCTCTGCCCTATAGTACTCACCTTCCCCACAGGCTTTTGCACATCTGCAGCCCCCTCCACCCAAGGATCTCGAAACATATTGATCCTCACAGTGCCATTGTGAGAAAGGTTATTAATAGGTACCTTTCACAGGTGGGGAAACTAAGGCACAGAGGGGTTACAGGATTTGCCCAAGGTCACATGACAGAGTTTGGACCCGATCCGGCGGGTAGTGTAGACATACCGATAGGGTTATTCCTTGCTTACACAAACGTAAGTAAGTGAAGAATCAGGCCCAGTATTTCTACACATTAAGGCCTTAATTCAACAAAGAACTTAAGCTTAAAGCTAAGCACGTGCTTAAAGACTTTGGTGAATACTGATGAAAGTTAAGCACATTATTTCTTTGTATTATGGTAGCACCTAGGAGCCCCAGCCAGGGACCAGGACCCCATTGTGCTAGGTGCGGTACGAACCCAGAACAAATGCCTATGTATGTCTGTCTAAGGTACTTTTATAGTCCCCATCACTGTAGTACCTGAGCACGTCACAATCTATTGTATTTACCTTCCCACACTCTTGTGAGGCAGGGCAGTGCTGTTATCCACCCCCATTTTACAGATCAGGACCTGAGGCACAGAGAGACGAAATGACTTGCCCAGGTCATACAGGAAGCCTGTAGTAGAGCAGGGATTTGAATCTAGGCCTCCAAGGTCCCAAGCTAGTTCCCTAATCCCTAATCATCCTTATCCTTCCTCTAAATGTTTTGGGTTAAATCAGGGGCTCAGGGCATGACACTCTTTAACCCGTTAAAAATTTGCCTTGATTTCAATGGGAGTGAAGGATCCTGTAGCTTTTGAATAGATTTTCTGGTGTCTGCAGTCTGCCTTTTATGACTGGATCCTACATTGTTTGTTTTTTGCAGAGACGCTGCTGTAGTCCCAGGCATTGTCTCAGAGCAAACCAAACCAAAACAAAAAAACCCCTCACAACGACAACAAATTAACATTGAAATAATTTCTAAGATCCAGTTTAAAAGCAAAACAACAAACAAACAAAACTTAAGTGAGCACAGGAAAGAGAACATAAAATCACATCAAAAATGATTTTTAATAATACTTTTTAATTGACATAGACTTTGAAGCCACTCTTGCAGTTGGCTGTTTAGACAAATGAGCTGTCTGTAATATACAATAATGCCCCTGCTTAATACATTATTAGTGGGAGGATGAACTTAAGAGCACTATATAAATAAATGTGAACATCCATGCAGATCAATATTCGCCCATAAATTGAAGAAATGGTCTGAAGTGCGTTTATATTACACGTGGACCTTGAAAGGATATGTAGTCAGACAGTCAGTGAGAGCCAAGATTATATAACCATGTTTTATCAGCTAGCTTTAGAACAGTCCTAGCCAGCAGAGAGGTGTGTAAATGCTCCAGCTGGGATTCACTTTGAACAACACTCAGTAGAAATTAATTGGCAATATATTTATTTGGTGGACTAGTAACAGCACTTTGCAGGTCTGGGGTGCCTGCAGTCTGAGGCTCTCCAAGTATTTAATAAACATTAAGGACATGAGACTCCCGACACCCCTGTGACACACACAAATCTTGTTATCCTGTTTGCGCAGATGGAAAACCTGGGTCACAGAGATGAAGGGTAGTTTCCAAAAGCTCTCAGGGTTGGCCAACCTTGGCTCCCATTGCAGTCAATGAGAATTTTATCCTGACTTCAGTGGGACCAGAATGAGGCCAGCAGTGAGGGCTTTTGGAAATCTCACCCTAAGTGACTTAGCCAAGGTCACCCAAGGTTTGCAAATCTGATGACTGCTTATGGGCCCGATTCTGCAGGTTGCTAAGCAGCTTCATAGACTTTGCAAGATCAGGTTCCAAGGTCCTTATGTTTGCTTATTATCTTGATATTTAAATGTAAGTTCTTGCTAGCTAGCTCCATGCTGTTGCCACGCTTCTGTTCTCCCAGCTCCCTGGTTGATGTATGTCCTGCAAAAGGCCCTCATGAACTGGATTTGATAAACAGTCAGTGCTTCAGGATGGATTGTGCTTTGTTGTCTGAGATTCCAAAAGACTGATATTTATTCCAAATGCAGATTTGCATAAAACAAGCCTTATTCTCAGCACCATCATCTAGAAGTTATGTCTTTGACATGGGAGCCCTAAATTGGAAGGATATTTTATCCTTTTTAGCTATGAGGCATTCACAGTTAAACTGAGTAAGGACAGGGCACATGTCTGGGAAAACAGTTCTGCCAGCTCCGCTAGGGGAGTACAACGTCAGTAATAAAACCACAGCCTTTCTGAGCCTCTATTTAAAGAGGCGAGGCTCGCCCTAGAGCAGCTTCATCAGCCTCCCTGGACATCCTGTGTGATGCGTGCCACCCAACCTGGAGTCAGGGAGATGAGCCAGGACAATCCCACACTCTTCCTCTTGGCTGGCGTGGCTGTTCCAGCTTCCGCGGGGACGTTCTAACTAACCAGTCTGTGCGTGGTTTGAATTTAGCTCTGTTTTAATATCGAAATCCCAGTTCAGATCTTTAATTTACTGCTCTCCTCCCTAGGACAGTAGCTATTTCCGCTCTGTCAAAATAAAATATCCTTTAAGGAGGAATAACTGTTTTTCCCCCTAACGTTATTTAAGGGAGGAGAAACAATCTCACGTTTCATTTGGTTGCTGTGTTGTATTTCTGTCACTAGGATTTCAAGCTAGACACGCAAATGTATTTGGCATTATAAAGTCTGGTCTCAGCCATCAATAATTTCATTAGCTGAAAATCTTACTGGAAGTTGTATTGCTATTTGCAGTGCTATGTTTTTTTAAAAGAACTACTTATGGTCCGAACCCAGTTAACCAAGACAAGAAGCTGTATTTGCCCCAAATAGCATTAATTTACTGCTACTCATTTATCAGTAGTAAATTCTAATGCCTTTAAATTATTGTTTTGCTGGAAAAGGATGGCTTTCTGGCTAATGCATAGGATTGTGAGCCAGAAGAGCTGAGTTTCATTCACCTGCTGTTTATAACAAATTCATATTTTTTACTGTGTTTAGCTGAATACTCCTCTGTTCAGATCTGACCCCTCGAGGGTGGAACGCGATTGTACCTTCTCAAAGTCACTCTTACAGCAGTTCCCTGTAGCTCCTGTGCAAACTGGATGGGGTAGGTGAGCTGAAGTTCACCTGCTGTTCACCAGCCCAGGTAGTTCCGTGCACGCTGTCTCGTCATCTGGGTGTGGGGACCTGTGTGGCAGCTGTGACTCCTGGCTTCTTATTGCTAGATGTGCCATAGATTCACTGTGTGACCTATCGTATGTCTTTGTGCCTTGGTTTACCTACCTTTAAAACAGGGATAACACTCCCTTCTGCCATGGGAGTTCAGTGAGGCCTGGTGTTTTTGACTCCTGGCATGGAAGGCGCTCTGGAAGGGCTGTGTATTATCGTTGTTTCAGAGTAGGAGCCGTGTTAGTCTGTATTTGCAAAAAGAAAAGGAGGACTTGTGGCACCTTAGAGACTAACCAATTTATCTGAGCATAAGCTTTCGTGAGCTACAGCCGATGATGTGAGCTGTAGCTCATGAAAGCTTATGGTCAAATAAATTGGTTAGTCTCTAAGGTGTCACAAGTCCTCCTTTTCTATTATCGTTGTGACCAGGATGTTGCGTGGGGGGCTGATTGAGCTTTGCATTCTTTTGGTGGAGTGCTGCTGCACCTCAGGAGTGGAACAACGTCTGAGTGGCATGCTGCTTCAAGTGCACACTGGTTACGTTGCAGCCGCATCACAGCTGGGATGAAAGACTGAGCCCCCCCCGCCAGGTGTTCCTGAGGAGCAGGGCCAAAATCACAAGAAATGGGGTAAAATTTTCCCAGATGCCCAAGTCCCATATTACCCATCATTCCTAAAGTGATATATGCACATGCAGACATGTCCCTCACGGAGCCTGTTTGCTGTAGGCTCTGCTCCATTATGGGGCCTTGAAAAGTTTTTAAAGTCATGTGATTAACCCTTTACACACCAGAGAGACCATGATTGCACCTTCCCACCTTAGGAAGCAAGGAATCTCTGGGAAGGTATGGCTATGGTAGTGCCAGCCTTCTGATCGGGTGGTATTTTACAGTCTCATAGGTGTAAATGATTAAACAAAATGCAAGGCAGTCTGGGTGGTTGTATCTTTTATGATGATTTATTATTTATGTATATGATAGTAGCACTTAGGAGGAAATGATGCTTTATTGAAACAAAGCTGCCACGTTTCGTCTGAGAGAGCGGCATGTTACTGTGCAGCAATTAGCTCCCTAAAACCCAGAATAAATAAATTAGTGAAACAGAGGCAAAGTCATTCCTAGTGGAACTCCATTATGGGCTAGAGTGGCACATCAGCAAATGAACCACACTAGGAAAGGGTTCAGAAAAGAGCTACAAGAATGATTTGAGGTCTAGAAAAACAGTGGCTGATATTAAACGGCTGAAGCTCAGTCTGCTTCGTTTATCAAAGAGAAGGTTAAAAGATCTACAAGAATCTACACGGGGAAGAGATTTCTGGTAGGATAGAGTGCTTTAATCCAGCAGCAAAAGGCACAACTAGATCCAGTGCTTGGAAGCTGAACACAACAAAGTCAGGCCGAGGGACATGGTGGAGTCTCCATCACTTGCGTTCTGTAACTCCAGACCGGATCTCCCTCTGAAAGAGGTGCTATAGCTCAGTGGTTCTCAACCTGTTTGTCATTGTGGGCCGCAGGTTGAGAACCATAGCTCCCCCACAGACCCCTGTAGCCAGCGCCCCCTGCCCAGAGACCCTTCCGCAGAGTGGGGCCAACAGTGGAGCCCTGGGCACAGTGCCAGGCTGGGTTGGGCGGCAGGGCAGCCCCGCCCCGACCGTGAACCCTGCCCCCTGTTGTGTGGGGCTGGGCAGCCAGGACTCCGGACCCCGCCACGTGAGCCTGGCAGCCTTTAGCACGCAGCTGGGCTGCATGTTGAGAACCACTGCTCTAACTCAGTCAAAGTTCTGATCAAGCACGCAGACACCTGAGTGGGTATAAAATTCACTAAACTCTTAGAAATCACCCAGGGAAATTCCCTTTCGGACATGGCTTTGTTCTAGTAGAGGTGGGTCAGAGCCACAAAGTTCAGAAGCAGACCTGAGCCTCCCCAAGCTTTGGGTGTGTTTCCTCAAGCATTGTAGGATCAAGGCCACCGCTGAGTTTGGTGCCAACATAACAGGGTCTCTTCCTCGGTAAAGAAGGTCCACATTGGCCCTATAAAAAGCAGCTGCTGCTTGTTTTGGGGGGGAGAGGCAGGGGCATGTGGCTTGACCCCATTCTGCTGCATAAGTGAAACCCTGGAAAACTCATGCTCCCTCCTTTACGTTCTCCTCCTAAGGCATAAAGGGCTCTAGTGCCATGGGGCAAGTAGGGGGAGGTAGGATTTGAGGAGTTGGCAGGGGGTGCACACCTTGGAGCCCACTTGTTAGCTGCCTTTGTGCTTATGATATTGTTGAGAGAAGGAGCGGGTCAGACGGGACCGAGAGTCTCCTTTGTTAACCATCTGCAGACTGGCGCACTAGAAATATGGTGGCGATAGCAAAGCTCCAAAGCTGCCCGCAGGACAGCTGTGAGTATGGAGCTGGACACGGCTGCCACTGAAAGCCATGGGGTTGTTTTTCCCATTCCCCGACGACACAAGCACTCAGCCTGGATCTGTAGGTGGAAAGAAACCCAGCCACACAGGGAGGGTTGGCAGGTTATTTATTTCACTTCCCTTGTGTGTTTTTTCCCCTCTCCCTTGCAGTACGTGGTTATCCCGACACGACGCGCGACCGCTGTGGCCTTGCAGAGCTTCACTTCGCACCTGCTGGGAGATGCTGGCAGCCCCTACCTGATTGGATTCGTAAGTGCACACTGTGGCTTTGAGCTGGGGGGGATGTGTGTGCACACGCACACACGCTCATTTAGTGCTGATAACAGGTGCCACATTAAACCACCTTGTGCTTATCTCCAGAACAGGAACAACATTGTCAGCAGCATTGCAAGCACGCGCGCACAAACACACTCCCCCTCCCCTCCCCCCCCCCCCCCGTGATGCAATCCTGACCTGGTGGGACCGTTTCTGGGAGGGTAGTTGGAACTCTAAGTGCATCCCAGTTGAAGGAATCTGTAAAGGCCCATCACACTGTGTAGGCAAATGCCAACAAGGGAGACAGCCGTGGTTTCTGTGATGTGGACATGTGTGCACTAGAAATTAGACACTCTGTGTGTGTGTCTCTTGTTTTTTAACTAAATACCTAGTCTCATTAGCCAAAAATCTCTGGGATGGTGTGGCTATGTAGTGCCAGCATTCTGATCGGGTGGTATTTTACACTCTCATAGGCGTAAATGATTAAACAAAATGCAAGGCAGTGTGGGTGGTTGTATCTTTTACGATGATTTATTATTTATGTATATGATGGTAGCACTTAGGACACTCAGTCATGGTCCAGGACCTCATTGCGCTAGGTGCTGTACAAGTAGAGAACAGAAAGACAGAGTCTGAAAACTTTCCCCATTGAAAATGTAAGGCCTAAGAAGCTTCATGAAAAGAAACATTTCTGGGTATATTGGACCAAATTCTCTACTACTACAACTCCACTGTCTTCAGTGCAGCTATGTCATCGGAGACTTTGACCCACTGCCTTAAAAGGCTAAGCCGAATTCTGCTCTGTTACCCCAGTGCAAATCTTGAGTGGCATTGCCAAAGTTGTGACTGCAGTTACTCCAGATTTACAGTGATATGACTGGGATCTGAATTTGACCCATCATGTCATAGACATCACTCTCAGGCTAGTCCTTCCAGCTGAGCACCATGGCTTTGATTGGAGTATTTTGGATGTCCACTGGCACGTCCCGTGTTACTTAGCTGTGTGGTTTCTGTGGTTAAAAGTCATTTCTGTTTCATCAGTCTCAGATCCAATGAGGTGCATCTTGCACGACCAGAAGGGGGCAGCAGCTGAAACATGATACACATTTAGACTGTTCTGTACCACCAGTTTGCCTGTACGACACAGAAAGCTGCTGCCACGTGGGCCTTACATGCTAAAAGACAGGCACCGAGAAGACAGAATGTGCGGGGGAACTGCGGGAAGGGAAGAACTTACAGCATAAATCTGTGTAATTGTACTCACTCTTAATTCATTCAAATCTGGTGGGCACCCTATTGAGTTCTAGAAGGGACGTGGATGTGGAAAGGGCAGTCGCTTAGCAAACCAGGGATGGGGAGAGGGTGGGCAGCATGGGGAAAGGCATGGCTATTTGGGTGGGAGAACAAAATAAACCAGGCTTTGAGGCTGGCGTAAGTGGTGGGTGTGGGGGAGGAAGGCAATATAAGAGGCAAGGTCTGCTCTGTAGGCTTGGATTTGTGTTTGATATCACACACATGCACAACTACGCCTTGCAAACGTCCTGGAAGAAACATTTCCTCCCTTGCTTATTGTGTTATATATAAGGGATGTCCTAGAGAGGTGACCAAGACCCTAAAATGAATGCAATTAGCCGTGAAAATTGCCCAGAGCTGCTTTTTGCCACTCATAGAATCATAGAATATCAGCGTTGGAAGGGACCTCAGGAGGTCATCTAGTCCAACCCCCTGCTCAAAGCAGGACCAATCCCCAATTAAATCATCTCAGCCAGGGCTTTGTCAAGCCTGACCTTAAAAACTTCTAAGGAAGGAGATTCTACCACCTCCCTAGGTAACGCATTCCAGCGTTTCACCACCCTCCTAGTGAAAAAGTTTTTCCTAATATCCAACCTAAACCTCCCCCACTGTAACTTGAGACCATTACTCCTTGTCCTGTCCTCTTCTACCACTGAGAATAGTCTAGAACCATCCTCTCTGGAACCACCTCTCAGGAACCACCTCTCAGGTAGTTGAAAGCAGCTATCAAATCCCCCCTCATTCTTCTCTTCTGCAGACTAAACAATCCCAGTTCCCTCAGCCTCTCCTCATAAGTCATGTGTTCCAGACCCCTAATCATTTTTGTTGCCCTTCGCTGGACTCTCTCCAATTTATCCACATCCTTCTTGTAGTGTGGGGCCCAAAACTGGACACAGTACTCCAGATGAGGCCTCACCAATGTCGAATAGAGGGGGACGATCACGTCCCTCGATCTGCTCACTATGCCCCTATTTATACATCCCAAAATGCCATTGGCCTTCTTGGCAACAAGGGCACACTGCTGACTCATATCCAGCTTCTCGTCCACTGTCACCCCTAGGTCCTTTTCCGCAGAACTGCTGCCGAGCCATTCGGTCCCTAGTCTGTAGCTGTGCATTGGGTTCTTCCGTCCTAAGTGCAGGGTCCTGCACTTATCCTTATTGAACCTCATCAGATTTCTTTTGGCCCAATCCTCCAATTTGTCTAGGTCCCTCTGTATCCTATCCCTACCCTCCAGCGTATCTACCACTCCTCCCAGTTTAGTATCATCCGCAAATTTGCTGAGAGTTCAATCCACACCATCCTCCAGATCATTTATGAAGATATTGAACAAAACCGTACCCCTGGGGCACTCCACTTGACACCGGCTGCCAACTAGACATGGAGCCATTGATCACTACCACTGACTAGACGGGACTTGGATTTCATAAAAATAACATGCCTGATCCTACAGTCTCCACAGACTGAGTGAGCTCTCCATTACCTAGGGATGCCTGCAAACTGCATGATTAAGGTGTGTGAGGTAACAGCAGCCCTAGACTTTCTCTGGCCCTATTTTAGTTGAAGATATTTTTTTTAAATAATGATTTTGATTAGTTTGTGTCTAATGTGTTGGCGATAAAGCACTTCTCATTTTGGAGGAAGACCGTCCCAAAAGCAAATCCAATTGTAATGGGGTTCAGGAGAGAAACCTTTCAGCCTTTGGGGGGAGGTGTGTCAGAGCCCTGTGTTCAGCAGCTCTCTCTGGCCTGGCTTAGCTGACTCACGGTCCCTGCAGCACGATGGCTGAAAGGTCAATTGGTCATTTTTCAAAATGGGAAAGAGCAAATATTATTTAGAGCCAAAATGTGAACAGTCGACTTCCTGGAGACAGGCCAGCCATTTATACTGCAGGGAGATCTCAGCCATGTGAGTCAGTGAAACTGCCCACTGGAATAAGGGCTGCAGGATCAGGTCCTAAGTGTGTGATAAAACAGGTGAGAGGGGGTTGGATTAAGACTGGGATTTTCGAGGGAGCCTAAGGGAATTAAACATCTAATTCCTATTGACTGCCAATAGGATTTGGGTACTTATGTCCCTTTAGCTCCCTTGTGAGCCTCTGCCTAAGGACCTTAGACCAATTTGCTGCTGGACCAGAGTGATCATGTGGCACACCTACAGCATAGTGTAAATCCTCCTAGGGAGAGGGAAAGCAAGGCAAGAAAAGAATGAAGTGACAAGCAAGCTCTGAGTGTGGATAACTTCCCCCGTCCCGCAACATGTGTTTTAATCGCTAAACTCTGCCACTTCATTTCTTTTAGCCATTTACAGAATATCAACCAGCTGAGACTCCCTTGCTCATCAAGAAGGCTTTTGATCTGAAGTGTAAAAGCCGCTATGTTTATTATAAGGCTGGATGCTATCTCTGGGAGTGGGTGTTCTAGAATGGCTCTCTATGAAGAACTCAAGCCCTCACGGCCTTGGAGGTTGTGTCAACATATTGTTTCCATCGTGGTTCAGCTGTTAGTAAAATGTCCTATTGGTTTTAAAGCCCTCTTATGGTACATATAAGACACTTAGCGGCTATGGCCTACCATGCTCGAGTGATCCTTTGTTGTCATGTGCCCCAAGTTGTTTGCTGGGGTCAGAATTGGCTGTTCATTTAATCTATTCCAGTTCCAAACCTTGAGACCACAGGAGCTGGGGCATTTGGTAATTATGTTCCTTGTTTATGTGGTTTCGTATTATCATCCAACTTTCCCAGTGCGTTTCAGTATTTAAAATGAAATGGCAAGAAGTCTGTGTGTGGCTGCATTTCACGGCTTTTAAAATATTGATAACTTTTATTCAGCTTTATTGTGGTAAAAGGCCCCGTGACTCTGTGTTATGAAGATGGTGTGTAAATGTGTTCATTTAGGGAAGTGGCTGTAATTTGTATAAATGGTTTTATTACTTGCCTAGCACAGGGACCAATTACTTGTAAATTGGTGCTGACGGATGAATTGTAAGCAGGGGAAGGCACCATTACACTTTTACTTTGGGTGAGATGGTTTCTATTCCTCGATGGCTGTAATTGTCTTTTTAAAGAGCTTTCAGTATCTTGCAGAGTTGACATCACTCCTGTTGAACAACATAGGGACACCCTGTGCTCTGGTCAGCCTCAGGGAGGCCAACGAGGTTTCCCTCTTATATAGCACTTTGCAGCCAAAGTGCTCTGAAGCACTTTGCAAAGGTGTGATCCCCATTCTGCAGACGGGATGACAAAGTGAGGTACAGAGCAGTTAACTGGCTTGTCCAAAATCCCCCAGTGGTATTGTCTGGCATAAAACACAAGCCTCCCAAAACCTGATCCTGTGCTAGGCTGCATTGTTGCACACCTAGTAAAGTTGCCTGGGTGTTAATGCAGGGTAGTATTTGGTACATAGTTAACTCCTCATGTGCCAAGCTGCCTTTTTTCTTCGTTCTAACCAGCCATGTCTCTGCTGCCTTCTACAGATATAGTATTAGGATGAATAAGTGTTTCTGGGGGTGGGTGGGTGTGTATATGCCTGTTTTCACTGGTGTGGATTTACAGTTTTTCCATACATGAAAGGCAGGGTTCCTTGGTATACTGACATATTCCTTCGATTCAGGAAAAGCCAGTGTGGACAGACAGCTCTCTTGGTGTCAGTTTCAAGGCTGTGTTTTAGCACTCTTCTCACGCTCTTAGTGCTGTCAGTCAC